GATCCTCGGAATAGCAGCAAGAGGACGTAGAGTCTCATACTTAAGCCAGCGCTGGGTCAAATAGCCATAATAATCTTTAACGGTCATATCTCCCTGTCGAGCATACGAGAGCTCCTGAAAAAGCTCATAAACACGTACTTCCCATCCTGATTGGGAATACATCTCTGATAATGCGCTCCATAGCTTCGGAACAGAGATATGAAACTGGTGAATCCTATAAATAGATGGCTTTATCGAGCCAAATAACAATCCAAGAATGGCGCAGTTCTCAGAGAACCACGCAAAATATCCAGGGTCGACATCAACTAGTTTTGGGTGAGATCCCGTCAGCCAACCAAGCTTCCCTACACGGCCTAAGAAAAGATGGAATGAGCGGGACCACTCAGCGAAGTTACGGCCATTCAACAACTGTGCCGTAACTTTCTGAGAGATCATGTCCGACAGTGTTGATAATGCAACTGTACCAGTAGGGACTGTATACTGGTCAAACATAAAAGTGGAAATACCAATAAAGGTCTCAATGGTAGAGGTGTCAACAGTAGAGGTCTCAAGTCCCTCAGTAGTAGTCATATCAACAACAATATTAGGGCACCCGTGACAGAAAAACAACTCTAATATAAATAAAGAGATAAAATAAGGGAGAACAATATACTTCTAGTCGAATAGTAGCGACAGATAAAGAAAGTCCAGAAAGCTCCCAAATAATCAAGTCACGGTGCCTAGAAATCCAATAAATATAAATAAATGATCTACTGCATCAAGAGCATATCAATGTAGAAGAGAATCTGACCACTCCTAAAAAAAGTCATAGATACTGCAACTTCAGGAAAAAAGAATCAACAATGCGAAGAAATGGCGGCCCCGCGATGAGTGCGAAGCAAAAGACGTGTTGGACTGTTTGGATTGGTCTAGGTTGGGTTGGGCTGGTTGTTGGCAATGAAGTTGGCTTTGTTGGGTAGAGGTGGCTTGCTTTTCTGGGTGCTATGGTTGCTGGCTCTATACTGATGTGTTATGGTGTATGGGCAGTCGGTGTTATGGTGTATGGGTGTTATGGATTAGTTGTTTGTCGGTGGGCTGTTTTTGGTTTCACCGAGGATCACACTGTTTTTGGTTGTGGTTTTGTTGCTGGGCAGTTGGAGTCAAGGTGCTGGTTGCTGGGCAGTCAGAGAAGTTTCGGTTTCGATGGCTATCGGTTTGATGGAGCTAGTCAGTGGGCTGTTTTTGTATGCTGGTCGGTGTAGGTAGTCGGTGCTTTATGGAGGCAGTAGAGGTATTGTTGTTCGCTGGGTGGCTTCTGTTAATGTTGGGTATTGTTGTTCGTTGGTGGCTGGGTGGTTTTGCTGGTGGGCAGTGGTTGGTTTTGGGTATGGCTGAAGGTTAGAGTTAGTGTTAGGGTTTGACTCTAATACTAACTTGAAATATTTGAAAGAGAAAAGGGATACAAACTAAGTATAGATCCGCCGTATATATAGCCAATGAAAGTTACAATAAAGATAAAAAGGTAAAAAGGGAAAACTTAATAAACCCTAATAAAGTAGATTGCTATATTTCCAACCGTGTAAGAATAGTAACAAGAGCATGGATCATCTTCTTTCTTTTTGTGTTTTTTGCATTGTCTCATAGTGATCTCAATGTGGAATAAGTCGTTTGATTTTGTGGAATTTTGTTGGGTGGTGCTTAGATCCATGACGTGTATGATTTGTTTGGATGTTATGGGTCTGGGAAGCAATTGAAGGATGAAGACCCTTTGACGTTGTGCTTTTTTGGCTACTATTTGAGTTATTTGGATGCAAAGGAATGCGAAGATCTTTGAAGACAAGTGTGATGAGTTTGAAGGGTTATGGGACCGGGTGTATTTCTTGGCATCCTTTTGGGCTTCAGTGTCTAATGAGTTTGCCAATATTCCTCTTTTGTGTATTACTATGGAAAGCTTCGTGTAGATTGTAGTTTTGGTCGTTTTCAATGGGTGTACCTAGAGGATGGTTGTTTTAACTTGTCATTGGGTTGGACAACTTGTCCACCTTTGATCGGTTTTTGTAATTGTCCTTATTCTATAGTATTAATAATATTTATTGTTTCCTGTTGGAGAAAAAGCTTCTTTTTATAATACTCTTTCTTTCTCTCACATTTATTTACTGAATTCTGCTAATCTTTCAATTAGGCACTGTTTATTGATTCTAATTTTATCTTGGTGTTTGAGATCTGAATGTGTATTGCTCTAGCTTGTTGGAATGAAATGCGATGCAGTTGTGATTGTCAACTTAATTTATGTGATGTTCTGAATCAATGATGCAAAGTTGCTGGGTGATCTAAAGGAAAATGCTTTCATGAATTGGTATCATAAGTCACTTTACTGATTAGATCTTGAGAGATTAAAATTTGTCTCAAAAAATTGGTGTTTGGAGTCGTGATTGGTTTGCGTTCCTTGGATTTTTAAATAAAAAGGACTTGTTGGTGATTTATCGTTTGGCATTGAAGGGGCACCTTGAGATCCAAATTGCCTATTATGAAGGTTATATGATTAACTTGGGATTTTTGATGCCTTAGTTAGGTAATTCTGATGGACAGATAATAAGTGTGTTTTGTGGTTGTGACATAAACTCAGAAGGGTGTTTGTTTTCCAGAGTGAGCTAGCCGCACTAAGTGCTCAACTGGAGGCCGCTGGGCCGCCCAGCAGAACCAACTGCAGGCCCAGGCCATTTGGATTGACAATTTGCGAGCCTTTTGGCAGCTGATGTTGAGCTTCCCTGAGATCCAGGACATGACACAAAGACACATAGATGTAGAAGCAGGACCATCTGTGTCTATTTAGTCACAGGTTGTATAATTATCAAAGTCATTGAAGTTAAGAAAAATTAAAAATCTGAAATAAAATATACGTTGAACCTTGCTAGGGATGAAATCATAAAATATTCATGTAAATGCTTTGAGACCAGCACCAGCATAGTCATCCAAATATTTGGAGACTGGCATGATTCATGTCGCTTATTCCTTAATGAACTTGTAGGAACAAAATCGAAATCAGATATGAATTTAAGTGTGACATTTTGATTTTTGGGATTCAAATCATTAAATAGTCATCAGCATAGCACTGAGTTGTGCTTATATGAAGTAGGATCAAGCCAGAACCACATAGGGCATCCCAGCAGAAAGTTAAAAGACTTCCCAAAACCAGAACTTGAGTATGGAAACCTGGTTCTCGGGGGTGAAAATGTATAGCAGCCATCTCAATGCCATGAGATCAGCACCATCGGACCCAAATTGGATATCCCAGCAGAAATTAAGAAGAAAATTCGCAAAAGTAGCACCTACGAATATAAATAGGGTTTTGGGGCTGAAAATAGTCAGCCAATTGCTCCGAGACTGCACGAACACTGAGCTTGTACCTAAATGAACATATAGGAATAACTCAAAACCTAAACAAACAATAATTGGTAGTTAAAATATAACTTGCAAGCATGGTTCAAGGTCGCGGTATTGGCCATTAATTTGAAGAGCTCTGAGACACATCGTCGTGGCGTGGTTTCAGGCGATACGACTTAAAAGAAAATGTTGAACATAACGAGAAATTTAAGTCCTATTATGGCGTCGTGGAACCGTATCGGCTAATTCGGTAACGATATTTTGGCGACTCAGGATTGACTCGGATACAATTTAGACGATTCGGCCGAATTGTGCAAGACTCGGAGTTTATACTTATCGTGTAACGGCAACGTCTCTGAAGGTGCCAAGACGAATACAACTCGGTCAACTCGTATCGGTATTGACCAATACATTGAACCATACTTGCAAGGGAAAGCATTAAATTTCCATGCAAATGTTCAAAATCCTGCATGAGCACCTAGCTTGGGCCTTGATAAACACGGATGAACCATGCAGCCGCAAATCAGACCCCTCGAAAGGAAATTTACAAAATTAGAAGTATGTTCTAGTATAAGTGTCTTTGTATATCACAGTAACTTCAGTTGGCATTGTTTCCGTTAACGAAATTAGAAGTGTGTTCTAAATTTCTAATATAAGTTTGTTGTAATATTACTATTAACTTCAGTTGGCATTGAATTTTTTCTGTTACAGATTGGTAATGAATTGCGGACTCACTCCAATGGAGGGCAAGGGGATAGCCCTTTACGATATAAATGTTGATGGATTGAACAGCTGTTTTATATGTATACATTTGTATTACTCTATGGTTGCGATTGAATTTGTAGATTTGAAAGTCTGTATTAGGATTTTGTGGTACATAGAAATACTATTTGATTTTGGATTGATATGCTTTTGGCTATGAATATTAGCAGGATAGGAAAATATAATATGTTATTAACAGCTCAAGAAATGACTATTATAATAGATAAATCGATCACATTTAGTGACACAAAAGCATCGCTAAAGGTTCACATTCAGTGTCAAAACAAATTCGTTGCAAAATGACTTCAATACAGTGACGACTATGAGTTAGCAATGGCTATCCATGACAAGGGATTCATCGTCGATGGGAGGCTTTTAGCAACTACATTTTCATATGGTCTCCCAAAGTTGAAAGTTGACGTCTTCAGTGACTATGCAGAGGGTCATCAGCAGAGGTATTAAGCGATGAACGGAGGACGAAGACCTGGCGGCGAAATATGTCAGTGTTGAAATAATTACCTATAGCATCGCTGGAAGTGTACCTCTTGTAATATTAATTATGAAAAATGGGAGTTTAACAACTTACCTTGATCACAAGTTGTCTTCCCTTTTTTTTGGTGGAAAGAAGCTCTATAATTGGAATTTTATTATTCACCTTGGCTAGAAATGATTTTAATTCATTTGTATCTTTCTTCTTTTGCTATCAAATCCTTATGGATTGGGTTTGATTTGTTTATCTGTTTCATTGTTTTCTTGACCTCCGTCCTCTTTGTTATATTAGGATAATTTTGATGGATGCTAAATACTGCAGTTCAGATTTATTCTACATCATCTTTTTACTTTTAATTTTGTTGTGGTTTCTAAACTTCTTTGCAGCCATTTAGAGTTCACTGGTGTCCAGTCAGTGGGTTGCATGGATTGACTAGAGTTAATTCCTTCTTTCAGTAAGCACGATATCTCTATGTTCCTATTCTTGATTATTTCTCCACTTGATCAGTCCATTATACAGTTTTTTTTTTCATCTTTAGCATTCAGGTTTTTGCTACTGTGTACTTTATTTGATAAACAATGTCTTTCCAATACTTGATTGTATTTCCATATTGCGAAACTTGTCAAATATGCGATAATATTTTGTCTATAGCCATCCCTTAAATCCCTGTTATATAATCTTCTTGATTCTATGTGTATGAGGCTTCGTGATAGCTTGTTATGGCTCCATATTAGTGTAGGCAATTACAGATGGTGGCATTCCTGGATAGGGGACTTAGTTATGTAGTTACTATTTTTGTTTTTGATAGGAAATGAAACATTTTATTACTATGAAAAAAGTACCTCAAAAGAGAAATGGGGATGGACAATGTGGGTAATGTCTTTCTTGCTACTACTAATTGAGAAGATATCCCGCTTACGACATTAGGGTTTTAACTTTGAGTAATGTTATTTGGATCTAAAAATCTGACCTAATTTGGTGACATAATAATGTGGCTTAAAAGGAATCATTGGATCAACACCAAGTTCTAATGTTTGATGGGGCTTACAGTCAATCTAAAAGTCACAGTGAATTAGGTCAACAAATTATGTCAGATTTTTAAGTCCCAATAGTATTGCTCTTTAACTTTTTAAGTTTTTTAAGTTTCATCTTCAACTAGTTGTTTGTCATGTAGTACATCATGCAACAATGTGCATTTGTGATGCGTGGTAGGAATTGCCCCTAAAGTTTCAGAATCTCTTCTACAAACAAGATTCTGAAGGGCAGATTAATTCTAAATATTTCAAGCTCAAGCTGCAGTAAGTTCTAAAGAACAGGAAGGAATGATTGGAGTCTCAGAAAATTAAGGGGAAAAAAGTGAAGAACCTTATTATCCATTAGGAGTGTAGTGATGTAGGTAGGGTGAATGTCACGGACTCTAATTTTAGGTCATGGATGTGCAAGTGCTTTGGTGCAGGTTATTGTAGCTATAAGCACAATGATTAAGTTTGGCTATATAAAAATTAATCAGTAATGAATAAAAACTAAATGGAATATTCAGTGATTAATTATATGAAAAATAACCAAGTTGATCAATATGTTGTTATGACTATAAGCATAATGCATAGTCAGTGCCATCAAGTATATAGGTAAAATACTCTCTGTGTGATTTTTTACATATATACCCAACTTGAGGAAAAACTGCAGATCTTAGTTGAGAACTCTGAGCGTATAAACTTGTTGAGTACGCCGACACTAGACAGTACCGATTGTCCAACATAGTTATTCTGTTGTCATGTATTGTTCCAATTATTTCACTTTATCTTTGTTGCTTTCCCCCTTATCATGCAAATTTCCTTTCTTCATGCTTCAGAGATGCCCACCATGAATCGACTCACTCTCGATCAGAATGATCACACACAATCTGCAGTTGTTTTACACACCGCCAATTCACAAAAACAAGGTTTTCCCCCATGAACTTTCCTCCCAAAGATACAAAGACAACTTTTTGTGGATGCCTAGTCTTTAGATAGAAACGCTTTCATCCCCTTGGGCAACTTAGCACAATTAGATATTTATAATTGTACTACAAAACCATAGTTCAAAAATTGAAACTGCTTAGATTGTTAAAACATCAATCCAAGCCATTCAAACGCCCTTTAGTTTTGGTTGTTCAAACTAACATTATTCAAACACTGCTCTCTAGAAATCAACTTTAAAAACCCCACAGAATCTGAGTCAAATGCCCATCAAAATGGTTCAAACAGTCATGTTATAATTTGACCTTTTTGTAGGTCAGAACTTCTAATTCATCACATACGGTCTGTCAGACAACCATTTAAAGAAAAATCATTCAACTATCGAACCTTAGTTTGATTACAGTCTATATTTGAACTTACCATTCCTAAATTTGTGATATTCCAAAGCTAACGAACACAAACGACTTGGCTTCAAAGCCAAAATCAATTCCCAAACCTACCAATTTTGTAACTCGGACAAGTGAACCTACTTCAACCACAAACTACCGACTACTATGGGGTCTTCAAATCAACATTTAGCTTTGCAGACTCCATAATGACTTAGACACAACCCGATACAGTAATTTTATCATGCATCATTTAGCCATGACCAACACACTACATAGGAAATTGCAAAGAATATGAATGTGCAATAATTTTTTATCCTGTAAATTATTTTCTTTCACAATGGCATCATTAGCTGTCTCTAACAAGTGAATCCATCAAATTTCAGGGAAGTAGAATCCCCATCAACCACATGTAAGTGTTTAATTCTCTTTCGGTTCTTAATCAGAATTCCAGTGGCGTTGAGCAACCAAACATGATTAAATACATAATATTTCTCGGCAGATCATGACTTACAGGGACATTATGCTATATCTGCTGACAATACAACACATTCACCAGTGTTTCGGTCATATGTTGCATATCTTGGATCTACTCCACCTGTTTCCTCATTCTCTAATGAGAGTGTAGATGATCCCAATGTAGATCGCCGCTGGAGTAGCCTATCTAGACGCAATGAAATCGATATTCCTTATACTTTCCCTGCTATTGAGATTCGACATGGAAATTGGGGTCATGATTCCCCTCCTTTCTCTGCAAATAGCAATCTTACCAATGTTGCTGATCAGGCCTCAGTTCTTCCAGCAACCATGAGATCTTCCAGGGCTGAATCTGATGCCACAACAAGAACTGTGTCTTTTCTGCATCCATTTCCCTATGGTCATGGGTAAGCCCTACTGAAATTTGAGACATAAATTATTTTTATTTATTTCTTGGGGTGCAGTCTTGGGGTACATTGGATTGCACCCTTTATAAAAAAGTAAGATTTGCTGAGGTAACACCATTGGTTCCGAATGGTACTTCCCATGGATTGCAATTCATAACATATATAGCAGTACATGGTCTGATGTTGGTGGTGTTCGGATAGACATCAAATTGCATTTTCTGTTGAAAGAGAGGTGTGTGAGCTGATGTTTCTTTCACTTGCAATTTGTTCTTTGAGCGGGTAATGGTTTTTATAAATACCCATTTCTGTTTACCTGCCTGAATTTTTGGGTAAAGATGTTTTCCTTAATACAAGATCTTTTACGTCCCCTTTTTTCTCTTGAGCATTGCAAAATCTAAATATGCCCGCCTTGATTTTCCTATTACAGGTATGTTCCTACAGGTGGGAGCTTATTTGTCTCCTCCATTGTTCATTCTGGCAGCAATGCCAGGTCCCACGAAAGGATCCAGGTTCCTCATTCTGTGCATCGTCAGCTAGGCATGCCCTCTACCCTCATTCCTAATGTCAGGAGATTTAGTGGTCCAAGTGGTATGCCTCCAGTGGTTCCGGCAGCCCCTGTGCCTGATCATGGTGGTGGTTTCTACATTTTTCCACCTTCAGGCTCATCAACCCGGACCCGACCAGAAGCGGAAAATCATTTACCAAATGATTTTCGTGCCTGGGAAAGAGGGCATTCACTTCATTTGCCACTTATCTCAGTTGGCAGGGATGCTGGTTGGGAATCCCTCCCTCGTTCTACCAGTGGTTTTGATTCCAGAAATAGGTCAGACAGCTATTGGCAGAGGCATTGGTCTTAGAAGGGTTAGTAACTTCGTTACAAGATTCTACCAGCCAGGTCATGTGCTTTGGAAACTTGCACATAAGCTTTTGAATTCAGTTACTATAAGCACAAAATATATATGTAGACAATAATTGATTTGTACATTTTTTGTAAACTTTGTCCTGGCACATGGCTCCAGAAAGTGGAACATATTCTTTCTGCTATTTTGTAGTTGTCTCATGATATTGGGCGTGTTTTGAGCTAGCTTAAATACGTAATTTTTAAGGATTTTGGAGTAAAATAAGTAAGGTCTGTTTAGACCTTGGCTCTTTTCCTAGTTTAGAAGCAGTTTTTTAGATCCAAAAAAACTTATTTAGGGTGATCCTAAAAGTTGATTTTATTAAAAACAATTTGATTTTTTGAAGTTTTGTTGTAAGTTTTATATAATTTTTTAGTTTATTATATTCATAAAATATTGTTAGTGACGTAAAAAAAATAAAATTCATATTTTGAGAACTATTATGTATAATTTATACGAATATGTAATTTAAAAAAAAATATATTTTAAATGATTGTAGATAATTTTTTTAACGTTGGTGCATCTCTATCAACTTCTTCATGCTATTTTCATGATTCCCATAAATTTTTTGGGAGCTTCAAATGGGCGGGGCTGAATGCTTGAAAAAAAAAATGTGGCATTAGGTTGCAGTGACCCTATGTTATCGGCAGATCGACGTATAGTTATGTAGTTAATTGCAATACTGTGAAGACCAAGTGCTTGCTGTTATTCATCTCCCTCCGTCAGGCATATCACTTGTTTATATCCATCACCATTTATCGAGTAGCTTGCCCAATCTCCACAAGACTCTTTTATGAAGTGATTTCAATCGCTCACAAAAGATTATGTCTGAACTTCTTGGCGCCTCCCCTTATTGACTAAGGCTAAAGTGGTGTCAATCAATGTTCTCACATGAATAGACGTTTGGATATTCACTTAGTACTTTCACCTTCGATCGCTAGAATTCGTTGTTCACCTTCTCAATGAAACCTACTCACTTTCAAATCTCTATGGGAAAGCATCGGACCTGTGTTATGTGCTTATATCTTAGGATCAAAATTTTATTTCGGTGTATACTTTTAGTTACCTTGAAAATAGAAATGTTTCGGTAATGTTTTAAAAATATTTTAAAAATGAGATGAAAATAAAGAAAATTTTAGAAATTTATTTATGCAACATTAGTCGAAACATGCAGAAATACCTCGAAACATAAAAATTTTAATAATTCATTTCGATTTTCATGAAAACGGAAACATTTCAACCATTTCGAGATGAAATTTAGTTCCTTGCCTGCACCTAATGGTCTGCAGTCCTTCCATTCGATTTCCTAATGGTTCATTCCTCAACTTGTGAAAACCATACTCGAACTACAATTTGTTCAACATCACCACATGCACCAAAACTACACACATTAAGATTATCCATGATTTTAAGAATACATATACGTTGCACAAAGTTCTCATCACGCACCAAAACTCGCTAGGTGGGATATCAAGTGGAGTAGCAATTGATACGAATCACATGCAGGTCAAATTTCTATCTCATGATGGCACTGAGATCCTACACTCAATCTCAGCCAAGCACTCAAAATGCTCACAGAAATGCACACACGAACATAATAGGGACAGTAAGCAAACACAAAGCACACACAAGCTTTACAGGCCAATTGTCCAACCTTTTCTTTCTCAATAAAGCCTACAAGAACACTCAGTCAGGATCTGCTTACAAAAATGTGCCCAACACTTTGATTATGCACTGCAGATCCCAACACCTATATTTATAATATACAGAATGGCGGTTACAAAGCCCAACCACTTAGGCAACTGCAAAGCAGTTCAGGTTTGCCCACAAAGCCGCCCCTTAGTTTGCTAATGATGGTTCAGGTCCTCTCCCATATCTGCTAGCCATGGTAAGGGGCAATTGCAACTATTGGCTAACCCAGCCAGCAACTGCCCTCAACTATTGTGCATGTTGAGTGTACATGCCAGCAACCCTTATGTTGTGCACATGTCAGCATTCTGCACAGAACCACCCCTGCATGCCATGCACATGCCAACAACTGTCTGGAACCGCCACCATCTATAAGACACGTGCCACAACCATACGGAACCGCCTCACATGTTGTGCACCTGCCTTCCTTGCAAGCCCACAACACCTGATTAGCCTTGTCTTCATACCTAGCCATACCCAGCCCATGACTTGATCTTCCAACCTAGTATTGCCTCACAAATCGAGCCACTCAGCTAGCCTTTACTTGCATGTCTACTTGTGTCCACATGCCCATGCATTAGCTGCTACGCTCAGTCACGCATGGGGCTTCAATCACCCACTGATCATGTCCAACGTGCCCATGCATGAGCTGTCATCCTCATCCATGCATGGTTCTTCAATCACCCACTGATTGTACCAAGAGCTTGCTTCTTCAAGAGAAACCTAGTTTGGCTAAGCATGGGTGCCTTTGGGCGAGGCTACCCCAATGCCGAGCCAAGAGCTAAGGGGGTAACAAATCAGCCCCACCAAAAGAACTCGACGTCCTCGTCGAGGGGTTGCCCCGATTCTCCTTGAGCTAATCAAGATCAACAAACTTCTTCCTCCGATAGTCCGCCTTAACAAAGCTGTCATTTGACTCGTTAAGTAGCCCTTGCTTAAAACGAGTAATTCTCTGTGCGGCAGAACATCCTGTCCTTTGTCTCACCCCTCCATAGGTAAAAGACTGTTGTTGTCCCACGGCCGCCATCCAATCAAGGACACGGGCTGCAAGCTTTGCACCATACTCCAGCTCATTTTTGTAGTCACTTCCACATCCGGGCCGAAGGTCCTTGGAGAGATTTGGAGGCAAAGTCTCAACACATTCCTCCACATGTTTTACCACCAACTTGGGCATTTTAACCTTCTCAACAGATCTATTCCCCACCAAGGCTAAAAGATATCTCATCTTACCTTCCTACAACCTAGCATCCATCTGTAAGGCGGACAACAGCTCCATTTTTCGTTAGCAGTCTCTTTTGCTTTGGTTTGCCACCTTTTTTGCAGGCACAAAACATGTTGCTCCCTCGTCTGAGATCAGCATTTCATTTAAGTGTGGCATCAATGCCACTTTGGCTTTTACGAAGAACTCGTTCTCGAGGATGACATCGAAGTCATTCAGGGGTATAACCGTCATGCTCATGCGGCCTTCCCACATACCAACTTTCAGGCTCACTCCTACATTTTCATGCAATGGAATTGCTCCTGAATTGACAGCCTTGAGCTTGCTTGAGCTCTCGTCTAACTGTAAGCCAAAAGTTCTCACTTTCCTCTGCGCAATAAAGTTATGGGTGGCACCTGTGTCCACCATGTCCAAAACTTCTTTCCGGTTCACCCAAGCTTACACGAACATTAGACCTTTACGGGCATGCTGAATCTTTCCCAAAGACATTTCATTCAACAATTGCAGAGGATTAACCCGAGTGGGGTAATCATCGTCGCTGGTTTTTCCGCTTTCAACTACAATGACATTCAACTTCTCCCGCTTAGTACAGTCTTTGGCACGATGTTGGTCGCTGCAAATAAAGCAACCAGAATCAAAACTCTTCTTTTTCTGGTTGTTATATGGCTTTTTAGAATCACCCTCATTCATCTTTTTCTTCCAATCCGTTTTCTCTGCGTCTTTGGAAGTACCAAACCGATCTTTCTTATTGCCTCTTTCCTTTTTTTTTTTTCGAAAGGGTCTTGACTGTCGCCAATTTTGAAGTCAACCAAGTCATCTGCAACAGCGATGGCAGAGGCAAATCCTGCACCCCCTACCTACGCAACTCAGCCTGTGCCCAGCCTTGCAAACCGAACATGAAATTTAAGAGTTTGTCCACCTCCAACATGTTCTTGATATCCAGCATCAAAGAACTGAACTCAATCACATAATCACAAACGATTCCAATGTGCTTAAGCTTCTTCAACAATTCTCTAGCAATCCACATCGTATTACTAGGAAGGAATTGATCCTTCACCTCCTTTTTCAATGTCTTCTACGTCTCAATTTTCGCACGTCCAACAGATGCATCATCCTTGTTCCGAGTCCGCCACCACAACTTGGCATCACCAGAAAGATACATATTGGTAATGGTCACCTTCTCTCCAACAGGCACATGAGCAATTTTGAAATACTGTTCCATATCCCATAAAAAATTCTCTAGTTCCTTGGCACTCCGGCTCCCTCCGACGGCCTTAAGTTCAAGAACCTTGATTTTTAAAGATGTCTCGCCCGCACCAAGATGAGAATGCATAACCCTTTTCACTAAGGTCAGTTCATCCTCAAAATTCTTCAAATTAGTTTTGACAATATCGGTAAAAGACAGAATGTCCTCCAACATCATTGCAAGCTTCGCATTGTTGTTGGCCACGTAATTGTCAAAGACCATCTGTCAACCAACAATCTGAATAACGTGCTGCTCCATCTATATAGCCACGCTGTTTGCAACATCACTTTCAAAGGCGCCCAAAAAATCTTTGAAGCGAGTCGGTCATTTACGTAATTCAACAACATTTCCACCGGCCATGGTCGAAACACTAGCTTACATATAAACATAAGCCGTTTGATTAATCCTGTCACAAGCTAAAGTTGCACCATAACTTTATCATTACTTCACTTATCAAAAGTACGTATATTTGATTGGAAGATCACATAAAACATTATGCAAACCATTTGTCAAGAGCCAATTTCACGCGAAGTCTAACAAGAGTAAGTAATAACCCATAAATATCCAACCAAACCTTTTTATGCAGTAATCAGAAATAGAACGGTTAATCAAGCTGATTTTACGAGTTTGAACCGAACTAATTGAACTCTTTTTTCTAAATGAACCTAAACAATTCGCTTTGTTTAAAAAATAAGTCGAACTCAAATAATTCATCTATTTTACATATAAATGAACTAAACTTTACAAGGTAGAGCCGAGTTTTTTATGCTCATTTTTCTAATCGAACTTAAAAAATTGTTAAAACTCGGCTCGGTTATATGAGTTGAGCTCGAGTCGACTTCTATACAAGGCGAATCTAAGCTGAGTCGAACAGCCGACCTCGAGCTCAATTATCACCCCTGATCAGAATCTACTCCTCAAATATGAAGGGAAATGTGAAGCAGCAGCCAATTTAGGTGTACAAAGGCCAATCCGACCAGGCTCCAGAAACATAATTCATGGGTAAGTTGTATGCATTTCGAATATTACAAAGCAGTCATGAATCCAAATGCGATTTTCGAGTTTTCAAAAATAAAAATCATTATGAAATAAGAATAACACCTTCATGACAACCATTTTGCAGGACCCAATTTCAAACAACTCCCTTTTCTTAGATCATGAACATTGATGTGTTAAAAACAGACAATAAATATAACAACACTAGAAGCAACAAACCCAAAATAAGCAGAAATCCAAGCACACCTCGCTCTCATAATAAATTCTTGCAACAATCAGCATCGAAGCATTCCTCAAATATGAAGGTGAACAGAGAGGTACTCATCCCTATGAAGAAACAGCCAATTTAAGTGTACAAAGGCCAGTCCGTCCACGCTCCAGAAACATGGCCGTTCTCACAAACATAAGCTCGAACATGTGGTGAACCATCCTCATGGAACCCGAAATACCGCCTCAAGCAAAATGCAGAATGCAGATCCCAAGTTTGTCTGCAAGAGCAAAACGCACAACTCAGATCAATCTTTCTCCGATTCCCATCGTTATCATTGATCGTCCTCCAAACCCTCGACTGCTTGAAATTCTTGAAAATCCCCCTGAAAAGCATGTAATTTCGCTTCTCCTCTATGTGAACACAACCAGGCCAATCACAAATGTACAAACAATCCCCTTTAAATCGACTCCCGAGCAACTTATTGCCCTGTTCTCGGCTTAAACTCCAAATCCCAGAAGCCAAATGAGACCTCAGAGATCTACAAATCTTTCTTCTCTTACAAACAGCAAAATCACAAGCTGGTTTCACAACACCCTTTTCTGGATCTTTGGCCATTTCGGGCATATCTTGAGATGATTCAGAAGCATTGTAAAGGGTATCATGATAAAGATCATCAAACAGAGACCAACCACAATCTGCCCCACAAACGGTTGACCCAGTATCACCATCATTATCGCTCGAAGAAGGAATTGTTCGGGACTGACCAGACTGAAATAATTCATTTCCTCGATGATTCCCATCGGGCCCAAGCTCGCGTTCGAGCCCGAAATCGGAGTTTTCAAGGAGGACACCGGCGAGGGAAAGGCCAGGGCAGCAAACGGCGAGCTTGTGTAGAGAGGCCCAGTCACCGGCCGGCACGGCGGAGGTGGAGAAGAGATCATCGACGACAGAGGGTATGGTCTGAGAACATCTGATTTTCCAGCATATGTTGCGAATCAGAGAGGAGAATTTGCTGGAAACGCAAGCTAGTCGAGCCCAGTTTCTAGGGTCTTCCTCCAGCCTGAAGAATATGTTAAGAACAACGTCGTCGGAAAGCTTTGAGAACGAACTTTCAGACATTGTTCAAGAAATAGAGAGAACAGTCAGTAAATCTAAAACTGGAGAGAGAGAGAGAGAGTGAGAGAGAGAGAGAGAGAGAGAACTCCGTTGTGATGTGCATCTAGCTGGCTTTTGGGTAGTGGGGGAGTCCAAGATCATGAAACATGTTTTCGTTTTCAACGATATCAAATCGAATCAACAATGCAATTAAAATTTTTAATATTTTAAAATAATTTTATATATTTCGAACTATATTTAAAAAAAATAATTCTTAATTTTTTATTTCTTATTTCTTATTTCTTATATTTTACTTCTGAAAAAAGTCAAATCTATATGTATAATATAAAACAATACATTGCTTAATAAACTTATTTAACAATCTCAAATAAATTTATCAAATAATCACTAACATCTCTCTTTAAATTATTCACATTAAATTTTTCCTTCCTGCACCCCATCGCATGTGACCACACCTCAGCCCAAATCCATCACTTACCACTTACATTTATCATATTTTTAAATACGAGTTATCCTTACTTATTTTAAAAAAACATCAAAATATTTTTATTTCATAAGTAATCAAAATAATGCACAAAAATAAAATTTGAAAAAATTTTAATAATTGCGTAGCAAACGAAAGTTAAAGAAACTCTCTGGGTTGTCTCCCACCTAACAAGACAACGCCATAAGTACCAAACTCCTCACACGTCCCCACCAATTTCAATTTGCCATCTCACTATTTTTTTTTAAAGTCAGAATTGTCGGACCCAAATTATATATATTTCGACTAATCAATTTTTCAGTCTGATCAAAAATATGTCATCTACGCCAAAACTAAAATATTCATGAAAAATATTTCTCATAACTTATCCAAAAAATTGTTAAAATTCAAATTTAAGACGTATAAATTTAGAGTTCATCTATGTTATCATTTGAACTACCCTATAACTTTTCCCATCCCACTTAAGCAAAAAAAAATAGGTAAAAGAGAGAAGGAGACAGGGTATGTCCGATGATGGATTCTTCCAATTCAGCCACTCCAATGGAATATTTGGGTTCTCAGAAGGGTGATGAGATTACAAGAGGGAAGGAAGGACAATCGTAGAGGGGTTGTTAAAGTGGATTGAGGTGGGGGACTGTTAAAAGTGAGGCTCTGGAAGTGACAAAATATTTACTCAAAAGTAATTAAATAAGATTATTTCCCAAAGGCATAACAAGCATTTGGGTATAGGAATAGGATTATTTAGATGAAAAAAAACAGGATAAGGGAAAATTTTAGGAAATATGAGTCCCATTCCTTCCTTGAGAGACGAGATCTAACATAACGGAGAAAGCCTATGCAGGACTTGCCCTTTTGGGATTTCCCCACCTGTGGAACGACGCTCTAAAATTAAAAGGATAGCCGTCGTACATATCATGATACTTTGATCCGAGTCAATTGCACATAAAAACACAGTACATCATTCTTCATTCGACTACATATCTCTCAGACTAGCCGTCGGCATTCAGTGCTACATCTTCATGTACAGCAAATTGCCAAAAAGTAGCAATCAATGCAGGCACCAAATAGTCCCCTGACTGGCGCTCATTAGAATGGTTCAATAGCAGCACACAAACCACCATACAAGATTGACAACGCAAAGGATTATCAACTAAGAAGGAAATTTTGCAAATATAAAATAATCCATCACCAAACAGCCCGGACTAGAAGAGCTCAGATATTTTTTGCAATAAATAGTCGAGCCAACAACTCAGAAATAAAAACTAACAGATCTTTTTTGCAAATCTTTGAGAGAGAACACAAGTCAGTCATACATGATATAAGTTTGGCAGACACGAGGTTAAGTTCAACAAACATTTTTAAAGATGGTTTGAAAAGATTCAATAGATCTAAGGGGATTGGGTGATTGTATCAGGCTTCTGCTGACCCACAGAAAACCTTACAGGTGATGAACCCACACCCACATTCACAGCATCTGGATCAACAGATCAATTACAACCATTTCTCACCTGTTAAATACAACTGGAATCAGAAACCATATAATGTAGAGCAGCAAACGAGAGGCATGTCATAGTAACCATTAAAAAAAAGGCAGCTCCAAAAATAGGAAGATAATGAAGGTACAGATTAGTACCTAGATACACTCTTGCTCCTGCTCCTGCTTGGGCTTCGGCTCTTGCTCCCACTTGGACTGTGCCTTTTTGGGCTTTTGCTCACGCGTTTCTGACGCTAAAGACAACAAGATTTAAAACAACAGGTACAAGACAGGTTTATTTAAATCCAAAGTTCTACCAACAAATAGTCCATTCAGTTAATATAGAATGCTAAGCCTGTTCAAAAGGCAAACTATATGAAGATTCATTAGTTATTTTAGAAGACAATTGAAGGTTTAACCCAGCTCAGTGGCCCTCAGAGTGCGAGAAGCAGTCTATACCAGGTTGGTAGGTACTGCTCGGGGTTTTTTTTTTTTTTTTGGGGGGGGGAGGTAGGTATTTGGGGGATTAAACAGATGCGAGACTTCACTTACAGCTGGTACTGGAGATCTGGATCTTGATGGAGATCTGCAAAAGTTCCAGAAATAACCAAATTTAAAATCCACACGTTCCTCTTAACAACTTTGATCCAAGAGCCTTGATGCCTCTCCACGTCAGAGTTACCACAATCAAAATGCACAAAAGGAAAACCCACAATAATTTAGCAACCCAAAGAGAAAACTGTGAGGCCCATTAAATTCTCCCTTTAATGAATGACCTAAATCTTAACCTACCTTAACTGAAACAAACAGAATACTATTTAATACATCACAGAACAGAAATTCAGAAAAGCATGCTTTATTAGATCGGCAGTGTAGGGAAAGCAATGACATAGTTAAATTGTTCTACCGCAAATGGTGCTTCCCAAATTCAAATAGCACTTAGTTCACAATCCAGCTTTCCCATCACAATCCATGATCTTCTTTGTCCCCAATCTAGCACCCATGGACATTTGCGATGCTTATTAGAACATAGACACCACGAAGGATTCCAAAGCTGCCATCTAGAAAGCATCATACCTCAACAACCAAAAGAGTCCTAGGCATTTGAACCATATCCCATCAAGATCCTAATAGTATGCAACCCCAGATCGCCGCATATATCCATATCTAAAAAAAACAAAGAAAGTAATTTCGTATTTAAAAAGGAAATAATTACAATTATGGTAACTCGACAATCTGGCACTTTTCTTAATACCAACTCTGTCAAACAGACAAACCGTGATAATTTGACAATCCAATACATTTTCCAAATACCACATCTGTCAAACAGACAAATCATGTACCAAAACAAACACAATATATTGTACATGACAAACGCTTGTTACTGTTACTCTCAAGTTCAACCAAGCCTGCGACTTTTTGGAAAGCGGAGTGGTTTGCAAGAATGGCACCTCGCTTTTAGCTTGCCTAACAAGAACTGTTCTCTACCTAAGGTAAAAAATATCACACTTGAACGCAGCAGAAGTATAGAACTTCCTCCAATAGTATGACCATAAAAGACACATTCAAAAAGGAGTGCTAAAACTAAAATTTCCAAAAAAATTATGTTAAACTAAAAGGTAAGAATAGACGCTTGGCAAGCACACGCCAATGCCACTATAATATAGCTAGAGTCTGAAAGAAAAAGTATATCAACTATATTTTCCCACGAATTTAGCAGAAAGCAGAAAAAGTGGTGAACAAAGTAGAGGAAAGAGGACAGAAAAATACAATGATCAAGCATGAATGCTATAGTTTATGGTCCAATGTCATATATATTAAATATCATACTCCAGAACTGAAATAAAACAATAAGAAACTCCCTACATGTATTAAGAGTCATGGGAATTGCAATTCACATTCCCCTTTTCGATTGCAGCACTCCATCTCCAAGTAAACTACTCGAAAGAAACTGGAGTGCAAATTGCATTCTTCAAAATTAAAACCACCTCATGCAAAAAAAAAAAAAGGTAATTTGGATGTTGTTAGAAAAAATAAAGAAAATGAAATGGTAAAGTAAAAGGCCCCGTTACCATTCATACATCTCATGTATATCTTCCATGGAAAGTAAATCACAAGAAGACTTAACGGACAAGATCAGCTTATAAATTATTTACCATGGTTTTTGTTTCTTGTTTTTGTCAAAAGGCATTTCAATACACATCATCACCAACACGATGAGAATATCATCAATTTGATCCAAGTTGAAAGGATATCAGTCCAAATTCACTGAATCCACCCAGAAAATTATATTATAATGTGAAGGGTCAAGCAACAAGAGAAGATAAACATGTGAATACGACATTTCAAAACCTAGCTTTGCAAAACAACAGCTACAGTCACAGCCTCACAAGACCAGTAAATGAAAAGGACACCAAACTCAGCACACTGCAAACAGCTAGATAAATATTTTTGTCCAGACACTGGAGCTTACAGTATTGAATAACAGACGCAGATGATGACCAAAAACCACATACGGAAGCTACGCAAATGGACTCTCGAAAAACCCAAAAAACTAGCCACAATCTAGCAGCTTGATCTTGGAAACCCCCCCCCCCCCCCCCCTTCAAAAAAAAAAAACCCACAAACAAAAAAAAATGCAAATTGCAAAAGAATAATGCAGCACCTCAGAAAGAACATAATGATAGCAATAATGAGTACATTAGCTTAATATGAAGCATGGAAAGGACTCAATTCAAAAGGCAGTAATGAATCTGGATACGACAGCATATTGAAGTACTTCCATATGAATCTTCAATAGAACAAATGAAATCTTCAAGCAACACATAAATAGAGATAGGCAAAGCAAACAAGAAGCAACAGACAGCAGAAGGCATACCTTGACAGAGAGCGAGGTTTTGAACCAGAGCGAGAACGAGATGAGATGGACCTTGAATGAGATCTTGAGCGACGAGAAGATTTGGCTTTCGGAGATTTGCTAAATTTCAAGAAAGATCAGAAAAAGCCACCAAAACAGCAAGCAAAGATATATATTTGCATAGAAAATGATGTAACCTTTTGCTTTTGCTTCTGCTTCTGCTCCGACTATAACTCAGACTGCGACTATGACTCCTGGACCGGCTAGAATCATATTCTTTCACCTATACATTGATGGAGTGGAATGGGAAACCAAATGCATGTGTAAGACACTAAAAACAATTTTCAACAATACAAGAGTAACAACATTAAAGTACTATATTAAAACAGACATATTAGAAAGTATTCAAATTAACAAATTTTATTCATACCCGTACTATTCCTCGAGAAAAAGCATTGCGAAACTCTGAGTCATCTAGTTTTCGAATCTGCAAAAAGAAAGAGACAAAATAACTACAAGAAGTTATGAATATGAAAAATGTGGAGCTAAAAGCATGAACAAATGATACATCTAGGTATATGAAAACAAAAAAACAGAAGATAACTTACAGCATACTTCATGTCATCATAGTTTGTATAATCCACAATTCCTGTTGTGCCTGCAAAAAAATACAATTCTCTACTTATCAAACAACAAAACAATTAAGTACATGAAAATTTGTTGGGAGCCTGAAACAATTCATACGACATAATATGCACCTCTAATAGTCGAAATCTAACTATGTCCCAATGGAGTTGTGAGGAAGGAATGGAAACATCAGAAACGATATCATACAAATTTTTACACAAAGTTTAGTATGAGAATTAAAATTGTTATTCCACAACAAAGCTTTAACTACCTAAACATCAACAATATTTCTCAAGGTATATTTATAATTCCATATGTTGCACAGAGAATATCATGCAAATAAACTTATCATAGCTTAAAATCAAGCAATGAAAAATCCAAGGGTAAATTACACTAACATGCCTTGAGTTATGGAAAATGGCCAGCCCCAAAGATTTCCACAAATACCCGACAACCAATTCATATTTAAAACATTACAAATGAGAAATGACTTATCCACTATTTGTCAAAAAAGGTAATTGCAGTTGGCCAAAATGTGACCGAGGGAGGGAGGGAGGGAGGGGGGAGAGATAGAGAGGGAGCAGAACCCACAATCCCAGTGTGGAAATCCCACCAAACAAAAAGTCACTGCCTGAGTTAGAAGCTTCCCAATAACTCTTTTTGAAGGAGCATCACAATTAACCTTCAGAACACCTGAAGGGAAGGACACCATCTAGTAGGGACTAAACTCAAGTGAGTAAAAGAGGAATACAAGAATCAGTGTGGCGAATGGCGCACATCGCATCCTACCTTTCTTCCACGCTGTGTAATGTCCTATTGGGAAGGAGTACCACCCCACTGAATCCACTTTGCCATAAGTACTGAACATATCACTTCACTTCCAGTTCTTTTATAAGAGCCAATGAGAATTTTAAGACACAAGGTGACATTGAATTTACCCAAAAAAGGGGGTGACACAGCAAACTTCTAGCAGCTAGCTTTCAGATCTAACACAATCAGTAGATTTTCACTCAACTCAGATCCAAAAGTTGAGTGCATGCACCCCCAGAAGGTGAACCAGGAAACTATAATTACAGAATGTTAGAAACCATCTAACAACAAGGTTAAAAAAAGAAACCCAGAGAGAAATAGCCATAGCCACATAACACAATACAATATTCACTGATTGGTTTTCCATAAAACAGTAATCATGCCCACAATCGTACTACCAAAAAATATCATATACAATTTTGAGCTAGATAACATATTAAGCCCTAAAATGACAACAGCATAATACCTTATATTATCGACCAACGACAAGTTACAAACACTAGGGTCCCGGGAATTCAACAGTTCTGGAAGCCTCCATAGACGTTAAACAGGTTTAAATAGTTAACATTAATGGAACAAAATCAATCCAAATAAATCAAGGCATCTAACTGCTTTCACATGACCCATTGCCAACACTAAAAGGTGCCCATCCACCACCCAGCACAAAAGAACCTTCGAGAAATTTCCACACAAAGTACCAAAAAAGGTCCAGTTCTACAAAACCATTTCCCAAATTCCCCAATCCAACATCGCATCCTCAATATAGTCCATGACCTTTAGCTAAATCAAGAAATTATAGTAATAAGAAGTATAAGGTATATGTTTTACATCATCTTACCACTTCCCTCACGGAAAACTTGGGAGAAACAAACATCTCCTGCTCGACGCATGTGATCCTGGATAAAAATCACAATCACGAAGTTCGTTAAAATGGACAAAATATGCTGATTCCAACAAAAACACATGGGGAGATAATGTGCATATCGCTTACTACTAGGTTGGATCGGATGTCAACCTATTGAATGGTAACATAGTAGTGCTGATAAACACACACACACTGCTTACCTTAAGGTCTTGCCATGAAGCAGAAGAGGGCAATCCAGTCACCAACACTGATTGAAAAAGACACCATATCAAGTTGCAAAACAATTCAAATGAATTCAATAACACAATATAGCATGCATAAACCGTATACAAACCACGATATTCAGAGCGCCTGGACACACCACCACGACGACCCCTACCACTGCTATGGCTGCTGTAACGATCTGTTGATGAAGAGTGACCACGCCCACCATGTGCAAGCTCCACCTACATCAAGCAAGGGAGCACAATAAATTTTCATAACTAATAAAAAGACAAAACATGGTATATACATATGTGACACCAACCCGTAGACGGTACCCATCAAACTCATAGCCATCGCGACCACGAATAGCATCCTCAGCATCGCGAGACTCTTCAAACTAAGAAAAAAATGGGGGACAAAATAAGATTGAGAATGACAATAAATGAAGTGCATTGTAAGCAGCACTCACTCACCTCAACAAACGCATAACCAGGAGGTCTTGGCGGGATTTTCAAATCAATGTGCGCAATTGGACCATACTGCAATGTGAACACCAGTCAAATAAATATACTGTTAAGCACTTCGCATTTGAAGCTAGATATCATCCAGCATCCTCTAATACCTACTTCAAATGCATTATTATTTGAATCATGTAACTGGCAACTGACATTCTCAAGTCTACTTATCATTACCATAGTTATGAAGCCATAGGCTCATGGATCCCAATGACGCCTCCAGCTATCAAATGGATTTTAGTCTTCTTTCTTTTTTTTTCCATCTATTTGAGTCTTTATTTTGTTGTCAGTGTTAAATTTGCCAGTAAATAAGTCATATGATTTTTGACAGCATATAGTCTATACTTCTATGCCAAAATGAGAGCTCTATAAAGCGGCCTGATGACATAATGTAATGGATTCTTTTACAGCAATTCTCAAGTTTTTCTTTGGATACATCAAAATCAATGTTGTTGTGGTTCCTATGTTGTATTACAAAACAATGATTTGCATGAATGAAAGACCGAATAGAGATCATAACAACAATGAAGTTGTCACATCCATGATCCCTTGGAATATAAAGGATGGCAGTTAAGTCCTTTAACCACTACTAAACTTGTTACTAACATCAAGACGAGTAATTAGATGTTCAAGCTTTTGATATATGACATTGTTTGTGGATTGAAAAGTGCGGAATCTTGATGAGTTAAAATTATTGATCATGAAAATGATTGACACTTCTAAGTGGTATTGAGAAGTAAAGACTTTGCCATCTTATAGTCATCCATTTTCGACTTGAATTTTGAGAAGGTTGTATGACTAAGAAAGCCCTAAGCCATATGATGCCCATAAAGTGATGACATGGGCAAACAATAGACCACTCGGATTTGTTCTGCAGCCTGTGCTAAATTTAGGAAGAAAATAATATTTTATATGCCAGTTGCCACTTTTTAGTTTAATGTGGTAAGAAACATGCAGTGTATATTACTGTGACATAGAAAGGGAGCTAATTAAATGAGTGTGACTCTAATGTGACAATGTCTTTTCTTTTGCAGTATTCATTACTTTGAAAGTTTTGTTCCCTAAGACCATCTAGTGTTTCTTTCAGCCCGTTTGGGCTTGTTTTGATAGTAGTTTCCAGCTTCTCACTGAATCTGGACTGCATCACACAGCAATTCAAACATACCTGCATGAATAGTCAACTGTACTACACATTAAAGTATATCTTCCAACTGATATGTAATTAGATAGATATAAAAGGAGCACTGCTTTTCATTGGAAGTTACAATGATTTCACCAGCAAAATGGTGTATATATAAGGAAACCAATAAGTCGCGCCATATTCACCTCAATCCCACACAAAACCATACTTAGAGAAACAACAGTACCTTGTAAAACAGATCTTCAACTTCCCGCTCACGAACATCACCTGGAAGATTGCCAACGTAGAGGGTTCTACTTGAACGACTCATTGTTTCTGAGAAAAAATAAAATCAGCACTGTAAAATTTACAACAAAATCAAATCCAAAACAAAACTGAAAAAACCTAAATTATGAAAGGCAACTACAGTGACGAACACAAAGTTAGCCAACACTGACCGTTTAAATTACTAGATCAACCAAACAAGAAAGAATTCGAAATTTACTTTTGAATGACTGACGATTAAAACATTCCTTCCAAGTAAACCCTAATGAACAAAAACACGTACGATGAACAGACAAATTGATGTATGAATAATTATCGCAGATCACGTTGACGCCAATTGAAACCTCTTAAAGTAAGTGGGACTGATAATTAGGTTTTGAAACTGAGAGGCGAGAGTTTACCTTCGAACTCTAGAAGATATCGCGCAGAGCGGCAGAGAATTTCGGCGAACTAGGGTTTTGAGGAGGAGGGGGGAGGAGCGTTGGGATATAAAATACTGCTGACTAAATTTGGAGTCAAATTACATGGTAGTATATTATTTTTTTTTGAATATTTATTGGGATTCATGTGATATGGTATCAAATAAAGAAGCTTAAATCAACTGTTATGTTATTTGAACTCTAAATTTGATCACAAAATTTAATTAATATTATTCTATAAAATAATATAAGGTGAATATTATAATGTGCGGTGTCACGTACGATATTACGTTGTGTGTTGCTTATTAGATGGATATCTGGTGGTTGTCATTTCACGTGGTGGACTATTGGTTTTACTGAAACCTTGACAATTTTTTTTTTTTTAACGGAATCTCGACACTTGTTTAGCTGCCTATGATTCAGTACTGAATATATTTAAAGGTTAAATGCAAAATAGAAAATTCAGAGCTTAGACTCATTTAGACACAATATCCTTGTAGTTTAAATTGTTGCACTAAAATTCCTGTGACCAAAGTACAAAAATGAATATCCATCACATAATTTATAAAATATATTAATGAAGGGGTGGCTTTCTTTATTACGCGTTTTATGACATTAAATGAGTTCACGTAAGAATAATAAGACAAGGCACATGAAGGAGCATGAGTCACTGAATCAAATAGGCCTAGCTGAATTGATCAATGAGCTCGGCAAGCAGAGAAAGAGCTCGGCTCTTATCAAATCGGGTTGTCCAAGGAGTCAGGGAGTAATGAGAGACCTCAGCGCTCGTCATGACCAATCTGTTTCAAATAGTAGATGGAAAGATAAAAATTCGTCTATAACTTAGGCATCCAAGATAAACTAATGAGCTTGATTCTATGCCAAGGGAATTGCCAGAGAGATTCCAGCAGCTTCCCAAACTGAATCGCTAAATGGAAAGAAGGTGTGCCACCTTGAGACGAAAATCATGGAAATCCTAACCAAATATGGGTCTATAAAATGAACAAGGAGTCATGGTGAAAGGTACGCCGAACTCTCACTGTCTTCTTACAATTGTCTCAGTTCCATAACTAACTTAAGCATCGAAATGTCTTCGATCGAAGCGTTTTGATCTTGGGCAGTTTGTTCGTTTTGCAGGAAACAAAGACTGAAAAATCAAGTTCAAAACTCATTCTTATCATAAATGTTCAATCTTTATTCTTGTAGGAGGTATCCTTAATTTTTACCCATTACATTTTGGCGCCGTCTATGGAAAGATTTTCATCATTTGAAACGAAAAGTTACGATGTCAAGACTCAGGAATGCCATTAGATCACCTGTAGGCAGTTTTGACATGGGTAATTCTGATCCGGTATCACTTCCATCTGATAGTAACGTTAGGTTGCATATTAACAAAAACACATTTGGACCCCACGAGGATGACGAGATATCCTCAGCAAGCTTTAAACAAACCAGGAACCGAAACAAGCTGGGTGAAGGTCGTGGTGAATCCCTCCGTGCTGAGGGGGAAAACCACTATTTGGCAAAGTTGGTCCAATCCCTGCAGGACCAGCTTGATGCTCATGATAAATTATTCAAAAAATCTTATGTCAGGGAAAAAGACCTAATAAAAGAGAACGAAGAATTGAAAGTCAAGCTGAAGGAGATGACCAAAAAAGAGAAGCATGAGAGGGACAGTCGACGAGAAAGTCCCGAAAAGAAACATGACAGAACAAAAAATACCAAGGATGATAAGTACCAGCAAAAAAGACCTCGGGTTCTGGAGGTGGACTCCTAGAAGCAGTACATCACCAAAGAACTGAACAACCGCTTTAAGAGACCAGAGTAGAGGTCTGCTAGGGACCTAGCCAGAAGGCCTAGAAGGGCAACCAGAGAATACAGTGACGGCTCAAAGTCATCTTCTTTTACCTTGTGGATTGAAAAGGGGCGTATCCTAAGTAAATTCACCGTCTCGAATTTCAAGTTTTACGATGGAAAGACCGACTCAGCCTCCCATATCAGACATTTCAAACTGTTGATGACCATTCATCGACATAATGAACCCCTGCTCTACACAATCTTTCCTAGCAACCTCAGGGAGTCGGCCATGAAGTGGTTCGACAGCATGTCGAATGGATCAATAGATGGATGGTCACAATTGACCGAGTAGTTCACAGCTCGCTTCATTACGAGCAGTAAGCAACCAAAAGATGTTGGAGCCTTACTGACATTGAAGAAGAGGAATAATGAAACTTTGCGAGAGTATGCTCACCGCTACTAGGAGACGATGAATGAAGTTAAAGGATGTAATCCTGAAATTGCAATTGCATCCTTCAAAATCGGGTTGCCAAAGAAAAATCCTCTCTGCCAATCGTTCACCAGGAGGCCAGCGACAAACCTGAAAGAACTAATGGCGAGGATCGAGAAATATGCCAAAGTTGACGATGACCTATCCAGGGATGTAGTTAAGGAACATCAAGGCAAAAGACAGTTCGATCGTGATAAAGCAGACCAAACCAAGCAAGGATACTAGAAGAAAGAATGAGAAGGAAGGATTTCCCCATAAATCCCCATTTCTTAGGGTAAATACACTGTTATATACAGGATATTGAATCAAATCAAGGGGAATCCATTTTTCAAGTGGCCCAACAAGCTAACAAGGGATCCTTCGAAAAAGAATCCTAATTTCAGATGCTCATAGCATCGGGATCTAGGTTACATGACTGAAAATTATCGATCTTTGAAACAGCATTTGGAAGAGCTAGTCCAGGCTGGGCATCTCACCGAGTTCATCAAAGCTGGAGTAAGAACCGATGGAGGAAAGCCCGAACCAAAAGGAGATCAGAACACACCAGCAGGGGTAATAGATGTGATCCACGCTGCAATGAATCCGCAGATGTCAACAAATAACGCAGTCAGGGTATATATTCAAAAAGCTACGAAAAGAAAGAGAAGTCTATCAACTGTGACTAACCCCAGAGGTAAGGAATAAAATAATTAAAGTAGAAGAGTCAACCGAGGCTATATGCTTCACTGAGCAGGATTTGGTTGGGATTCATCAGCCACATTATAATGCGTTGGTTATAATGCTTCGGATTGCCAATTACGATGTAAGGAGGGTTCTGATTGATCAAGGGAGTTCCTCCGAAATTATGTACATGGACCTCTTTAACAAGCTCGAACTCAAGCAGGAAGATCTCAAGCCCTCTAATACTTCATTAATTGACTTTAAATGGAAAAATAGTTCTTCCTAGAGGGAAAATCACCCTACCAGTGAAGACTGGACTAGTTGACGTCATGACCGAGTCCCTTATAGTTGATATGGTCTTTGTTTATAATGTGAGAATGGCGCAGTTGTGGCTACATGTGATGAAGGCAGTACCATCAACGTACCACCAGATGATGAGATTCCCTTCGTCTGATGAAATAGTGAACATCCGAGGAGACTAGATCAATTTTAGAACTTGTTTACTGCACTCGGTCAAAGCCAAAGATGGAGTAGAGGATCAAGAGAAAAGTTCAATAGCCAAGGAGGCGAAATAGTGATCAACATTTGATAGTTTGGTTGATTCTACTGACCAGGCTATCATGAAAAGTCCTAAAGTACCTTTAGGCACAGAGAAAAAAGTTACCGACCAAACTATCGAAGGCTTGACTAAAGTACCTTTAGACAAGAGTGCAGACTAGGACAAGTACTTTCTGTTGGGAACAACTTTTAGCCCCAAACAACAAAATGAGCTCGTCACCCTACTCCAAGAGTATGCTGATGTTTTCGCTTGGAGCACGAGTGATATGCCTGGCGTGCCGATCGAAGTGGCATGTCACCAACTGAACATTGACTCTAGCTTCAAGCCAGTCAAGTAAAAGCTCAGAAGGTCGGCCCCTTAGCATCAGGAGGCAGTAAAAGAGAAAGTGGCACGATTGCCGGAATCCCGAACCATAAAAAAAGTATAATATCCGACCTGATTGTCAAACACTGTGGTTGTGAAGAAGAGCAATGGGAAATGGAGAGTCTGTGTTGACTTCACCGATCTCAACAAAGCTTTTTCAAAATACAGCTTCCCCTATCCAAGATAGATCAATTGGTCAACGCAACTGCTGGACATAAGCAAATGAGCTTCTTAAATGCCTACAGAGGATACCACTAGATCCCCCTTGCCGAAAAGGATCAAAAAAAGACTGTCTTTATAACGGCTGAAGGAACGTACTACTACAAGATAATGCCCTTCGGGTTAAAGAATGCAGGAGCGACATATTAGAGGTTGGTAACCAAGATGTTCACACACATGATAGGCAGCACTACAGAAGTTTATATTGACAACGTGGTGGTTAAAAGTCAAAGGGCCACTAGTCACTGTTTCAACCTTAGAAGCACATTCTACATTCTGCGGAGATACAAGATGAAATTAAATGCCTCGAAGTGTGCATTTGCAGTTTGGTCAAGGAAGTTCCTTGATTTTTTGATTACCCACTGAGGTATAAAGGTGAACCCCGATCAGGTAAGGGCAATTGCAGAACTATAGTCACCTCGGACTGTAAAGGAGGTACAAAGGCTAACTGGAATGACAGCTGCACTCAGAAGGTTCATATCCCGAGCATCTAATAAGTACAAACATTTCCTCCAATCGATCAAAGGAAAAAAGGGAGCACTTTGAAGTCAAGAATGCGATGAGGCATTCTTAAATCTGAAGGCGTACCTGGCCTTCCCACCAATCCTTTCAATCCCATCGTTTGAGAAAAGGCTATTCCTCTACCTAGCTATATCAGAACACGCAGCGAGTGGAGCGCTGATAAGGAATGATTGTGAGAAGTTGAAACTCATTTATTATGTGAGCAAGATGCTCTTAAATGCAGAATCGAGGTATACTCCATTGGAGAAACTTGCGCTTCCACTAGTTAGCTCGATAAGGAAGCTCAGACATTACTTCTAGGGTCACCAAATTACGGTGCTCACCGACCAGCCGTTGAAGTCCAACTTCAAAAAGTCGACCTATCAAGACGCATCGCTAAGTGGGCAGTGGAGCTTGGGGAGTTCGACATTGTGTTCGAACTGAAAAAGGCAATCAAGGGCCAAGTAGTGGTAGACTTCATCGCTGAGTTTCAACCTAAAAATAG